AAAACTGGTTAGGTTCAGGTTCAGGTTTTCAGGGGAGTCAGAGAATCAGACAGGTTGGTTGGCTCAGGCTTGCTAACCGTAACTGGCTTAACACTCTGGCGCTGGAGTGTTGCTCTTCCACTGTTTAAATGCTGGTCCCCTGATGAGCAAACGAGCCCCAGGTGTGGTAGTCAGCTTCAGCTCCAGGATACCTAGGGCGCCCTCTGCTGGAGAAAGGTGGACAGACCTCCAGATCCCAACATTGTGACCTTTTTTATGTTCCACAGTTGTTAGAACATTTTTAAAAGCTAAAAGTTGTTTGTTCAAATACATTTTTTGATGTTCAGTATGTGTTGAGGTCATTGGTTGTACTATATATTTAAAATGATTGTGTTCTTTTCAGGTGTTGATTGTGTGACCACCATTATTACATAATTTTCTTACATAAGTTGCACAATAATTGATCTAAAGAATTATTATAATCATAACATGTTTCAAGTCCTTTGGTCTTTAAAAAGAAAAACATGTTTTGATTTGTGAAAACCCGCATTATATAAAAGTAAAACATTGTTTTTGTTTTCAAACCGGCCTTCTAAAAGAAGAAGATTCTAACCATTCCTGTTATTTAGACCTGAGGGAAGACAAGAAATGAGGTGCAAAGTCGAGTCTAAATTTGATGGATCACACAGAATGAACTACTGTGAGTTCAGAGAAAATAACAGCAAGTGTCAGGAAACGGGGACAGATGGACCCAGTATTCAAGGAGGGACAGTCCGTAATGTTTATTAAATGAAGAACAAAACTAAGGGGGAGCTGCTAGGATCTGTGGCACGCGGCGACTGCTGCAGTTCCAGAGGTCTTCCAGGAAGCCGATCCTGGTCAGGGATTCAGAACAGACAGAACAGGCAGGATCCAGGCCTCGTAGTGCTCCCAGGCAGGTTCAGAGTCTGACAGAGTCCGGAAGGAGCAGACGGGATCAGATGTAGACGGGGAGGCTGAGTGGAAGAGGATAGCCGAGACAGGACGTGGAAACAGAATTTGATGCAGGACCTTTAAACTGGTCTCCTCCTTGGAGCCAGGCTTACTGGGATAAAAACTACACCTCCCCCCATAATGAGCCAAAAACCCAGAGGACTCCGCAGGGGAGGAACAGTGGACGAGCAGGAGACAAGACAGACACTAAACCCTCCTTCCACTGGCCGGCAGGATCCAGAACACGAACCTTGGAATCAACAGAACGGACAAGCTAGCAGAAAAACAAATAATGATCTGGCCCTGAATGCTCAGGCTGAACTGAATATAAACCAGAGGAAACAGGTGGAATAAATGATAATTGAGGCAGGGAGGGAAAACGACAGGTGAAAGAAATAACCAATTAAGGGAGAGCAAACAGGCCAGATCATGACAGCAATAAAGCAAAAGAAAAATAACACATTTAAATTGCTTTAAACAAACAGAATTTTTTTACATAGTAGAAGGTTCAACTATGAACTTCCAAACCAGTTATCATATCTGGATTCACATCATCTAGAGAACAAAATTGCAACCCAACCGTTATATAGATGAATGCATAATAAAGGCTTTTCAAATGATCGCCTGCAGTGTTTTTAAGCGTTGGTATTAGTTGAATGACAGCATATATTCTGAATTAGGTGTGTAATGTGATGAGTCCGAGTCAGAACAACTGGTTACGGTCCGGTTGGATCCCTCGAGAAGGAGCCAAGAGAATCTACATCGAGGTGAAGTTCACCCTGAGAGACTGCAACAGCATGCCTGGAGTTCTCGGTACCTGCAAGGTAAGTTTAAACAACATTTATTTTTGTATAAACTCGTGTGTACAAAATGACAAAATAAATCTATCTAAGTAATGCAGTGCAGCTGGGGGAACATGAAAGCTACCGTTTTTTTAAAAGCTGCTGTGAGTATTTTCAAATTAGGATGTAAATGTCATGTTGGGGTCTAGTCTTCTTACCCACATGCAGAAACACTCAAGAGACTGGAAAAATAGTTAAAAGGTTTATTGACAATGTTTTCAGAAAAGGTAAATGGCGTCTTGGTTCGTCAGGCTGGTCACTGGAGGGAAGCAACTAGAGGAGGACAGAAACGGTTAGAGTGGATCCAGGAAACTTGCTGTTTGACGGTGGTTTGGGTTAATACCTGCTCAGGGGTATTCTGATCGGCAGGGGGGGAACCTTGAGGGTCCAGAGGCTGAACCGCAGGCAGAGGGCTGAGGGCAGAGGCTGAGGCGGAGGGCAGACAGGCAGGCTCCAGGCAGCGAGAGTTTTGTCTAGGAGTTGACTGATCACCAGATATGTCAGGATCTGATAGGCAGAAGAACACAGAATCAGAGAGGTTCTAAAAAATCAGGAAAACAGATCAGATTTTCAGCAGGCTCAAAGTTTGCCGGAACCATTACTGGCAAAACACTCTGGCAGGGAAGTGTCAGCCTCCTCCTCCTTAAAAAGCCTCCAAATGAGCAGATGGGAAGCAGGTGTGCAGAAGTCAGCTCACGCCCTCAGGAGGAAGATCTCAGGCTCCCTCTAGTGGAGAAAGGTTGACAAGCCTCCAGATCCCAACAGTAAAGATTCCAGGTATTCTGCAGATGAAGTGATGGAAAACGGCCACAGCTACACAACATGTTTGGATTAGTTGTTTAGTTTCTGCTTTAATTATTTCCTTTTTGGAAACAAACTCTAGTTGCCGCTTTTTCAGTTACATCCTTTGTCTATTGTTTCTTAGCGCATTATTGTGTTTCTTTCTGCAGAGTTTCATGTGTATCTGTTTAGTTATTTCCTTATTACATCTCTGCTCTCCTTCTGCCCTGACTGATTCAGATTATCACCTGCACATTCAATGCCAACTCCTCTTCAATTAATGTATATATTTGTTTCTTTTGTTTGTCAAACTGCTTATTATTATCTTTCCACTCCACATTGTGTGTTTCTATGCTTTGTGTCCCCATTCCCTTCAATAAAGCTTTAAATGCACCACACTGCTCCTTATTTCCTGACTGCGTTCTGGTCTGGCTGCTGATTCTGCTGACTGGTCCAATATGAGCAGAGAATAAAGACAATAGCAAACGAAAATCTGGTCCAAATGTCTGGAAACAATTAAGTTGACCTACTAATGAATCTGATAAACAGACTCATGTTTTATTAAGCTATGCCTGCTGACATTTTAACATTATTACCATGTTATAAATCACAAAGTAAAAACTTTTTAAATACTCAAAAAAAGACTTCAAACTGAGCCTTCAATTTGTTTAGTTTGAACTCCTTATTTTATAGTTTGTACAGTTAAAATAGGAGGTATAAGATGTATTATTGACCATTCCTCCACTCTCCGATAATATCAGAAAGAAGCTTAATCTAAGTTTGTGATTAAACTGGAATCCTTCCAGTGTCGCTGTTTTTATTAGCTCTAATATTTATATAGATAAATCTTTAATCAACTCGCTATTTAGCTCTGCTGCTAATTGCTCCTGTTTTAATCCACACTGAAGGGATTTCATTATTAGTTTAAACTTGCTGCCTGTGATTAAAGATGCACTAATTCTCTGATCATGACTCTTAAAATATTATTTAACTTGTTTTTTTAAATCGTTAAATTGTAACAACAAACTTTTAATTAAGAATTTCAAGATATTACAGTAGAAGGAAATGAAACATGGATACAACTTTACAATATAAGAAGAAAATATTTGAGAATTTCAATTTCTTGCTGAATACAAACTTTGCTTGGTACGGAGGAGCATTAGGGCCACTGAAAAAAATAAAAAGTTGACAGATTTTAAAATTTTATTTCAGAATTCTGAGATTAAAGTCAGAATTCTGACTTTTTTCCCATACTATACTGAAATAAAATTTAAAAATCAGTTAACTTTTTTTTTTTTTTTTCAGTGGCCCTAATCGTCTTCCGTAGCTTGGTATCGCTCTGTTGTTACATGTTTAATAATTTAGTGCATCTACAGGGTTTTGTTTCTTATTTACCAATTCCTTTTAGCAACATAACTCATTGTTATACTAGACTTAGACACTTTTATATATATATAATGATAAAATA